AAACAGCAGATGGATGTTAGGAAAGGAAGGAATATAGGTAGTAGGTATTCCGTTCAGCTCTTCTCCTCCACCTGCTTCAGGATCTTCATGGAGATAAATACTGAACCTTATGTTGCACTACCGGTAATTAAAACCGCCTTATTTCAGTTCATTCACTGAACTATATTCTTATACATTATTTGCCATTTATGAGTGCATTTGTCTCATTCAAAGAAGCAGGTTTAATCTGTTTTAAAGAACTGAAGTAGTCTTACTCTGCCATTTAACACATGGAAGGAGTCTGATTGGGCCTGATAGAAGCTGCACAAGCAACAAAGAAACTATGAAGCAGGACAGACTCTGTACCACTTTTCTAGCAAGAGCACAAACAGGAAAAATATGAGAACAACAGTGGCTGCAAACTCATACCTTTTCTCCTGCGTCTTTTCGGGGTTTGTTTTTTTCAAAGCAACCTCTGGGGCACCAAGATGGCGGAACCGGCGCTTGCGACAGGGAGCAACATCCGTGATGTCACGGAGATTCAACGGGCTGGGAGAATCAGAATCTGAGGAGAGAAAAGGCTGATGCTTTATATGACAAATATGTTTGTCTGTCTACCTATTTATTTTTCACAGGGTGTGGCCATCAAAGTTTCATACAAAAATTACCCTAATCTGATCTGTGATGCGTTTTTCCCTGGCAGCAGTTTCCATGCAAACTACAGCAAACTACACCAAACAAACCAAAGTTTCCCAGCACTGGCACCATGGCAACAGAAACAACATAATCCAGCTAGCTTCTCCTCTCAGGATGGAGGAAGGAAGCCAACAGGGTCCAGCAAGTCGCCAAAAACCCATGATGGATTACAAAACACTAACCTGGCTGTGATCTTCCAGCATGTGAAAAACTTTCATACATTAGTTCTGCTACCCACAGCTGTTTAAAGGTAACCTATGTTCTCCACAAATAATCCAAACATTACACTCTCTTTCTTCATGTCCAGGCCGACAGCGAGGGAAAGTCTGCGAGATAATTAGGTGTGATGTTATACATCAGAGGCGTTTTGGGTTTACAGAGGTCTCTGTGTCTGCGTATTACCCAACTCCTCAGTGATGTCATGACTGCGCTTCAGTTATGGATTAAAAACATTTGTTTCTAAGCACAGGAGCAGCCAGAAAAAAATGAAATTTAAACAAAGATAAAAAAAAATCTATGTTCCCACAGGTTGAAAAGGTACTGGTGAAGGATTGGTCTCTCCTTATTACACTTCCTCTGAAGGAGATCAGCTCTCTGCATCTTCAGAGGAAGTAAACCCCCCAAAGTTATCAGGTCCTATTAATGGATGACAATCTAAATTGAAAGGTCAATAATGCATTATTACATTTTTTTTTTCATCAAAAAAGAAAGAACATGGTAAGAGGTACGGAAGCAGAGAGCCGTCGTAATGGACTTTTATTTTCCTTTGCCTTCTCGAGATAACGACATACACTACCGTTCAAAAGTTTGGGGTCACCCAAACAATTCTGTGTTTTCCTGAAAAGTCACACTTATTCACCACCATACGTTGTGAAATGAATAGAAAATAGAGTCAAGACATTGACAAGGTTAGAAATAATGATTTGTATTTGAAATAAGATTTTTTTTTTTTACATAAAACTTTGCTTTCATCAAAGAATCCTCCATTTGCTGCAATTACAGTTAATTTGTTGAGGTAATCTGGAGAAATTGTACCCCACGCTTCCAGAAGCTCCCACAGTTGGATTGGTTGGATGGGCACTTCTTGCGTACCATACAGTCAAGCTGCTCCCACAACAGCTCAATGGGGTTCAGATCTGGTGACTGCGCTGGCCACTCCATTACCAATAGAATACCAGCTGCCTGCTTCTGCTCTAAATGGTTCTTACACAGTTTGGAGGTGTGTTTAGGGTCATTGTCCTGTTGTAGGATGAAATTGGCTCCAATCAAGCGCTGTCCACTGGGTATGGCATGGCGTTGCAAAATGGAGTGATAGCCTTCCCTATTGAGAATCCCTTTTACTCTGTGCAAATCTCCCACC